GCCCACGCAGCACACAGTGGCAGCACCTGGAGAGCTGTCCGAGAGCGATGACGAGAGCGGCAATGAGAGTAACGAAAGCGACGAGGATCTGGAGGTTTTGGAGAGCAGCGAGGACGAAGCAGAGGATGAGCTGGTGGACTTTGTCGTGTCTGATTCGGAGCAGAGCGGTGCCGAGTCATTTGAGGACGAGAGTGAGGCAGAGAGCCTTGGCAGCGAAGACGAGGATGAGTACCTGAACCACAAGCAGCGCAAAGCACTGAAGCGCAAGGCGGCGGCGGCAGATCTGATGGACTACGAGCATGGAATGCGCAAGTTTGAATCGGCAGAGAAGAAAAACCAAAGAGTCGTCCAAGTTGCCGATCAAGCTGGCGGATGGGCGGCTGGTTGCTGCAGAAGAATCAGAGGAGGAGGACGTAGGGGAGGAAGAGGAAGAAGAGGAAGAAGAAGAGGAAGAGGAGCCTGTACCAAAGTCGACCAAGGGCCTTGGAGGGCGGCCAGTGGACTCGGAAGGCGAAGTGGACTTTAACGAGGAACCGGATCGGGAGTCGATGACCCGGCGCGAGTACATTGTAGCGCAGCAGAACCGGCTGGCGGGCCTGGCGAGCGCAGTGGTCCAGAGCCCAGAGGGGAGCGCGCGGGCGCTACGGCTGCTGCACAAGATCAGCGAGGACAGCGACCGCAAGGTGCGGCAGCTGGGCCTGCTGACGCAGCTGGCCGTGTACCGCGACATTCTGCCTGACTACCGCATCCGCGAGCTGACCGAGAAGGAGCGCGCAATGAAGGTCACCAAGGAAGTGCGGCAGCAGCGCGTGTTCGAGGAGAGCCTGGTCAAGACCTACGGGCAATACCTGCACCAGCTGTTTGCGGCGGTAAAGCGCGGCATGAAGATCTTTGGCGACGCCAGCGCCGACGTCGAGACCGGCGTGGTGGCAGCACGTGCGCTAGGCGAGCTAGTCAATGCCCATCCGCACTTCAACTTCCGCAAGGACATTCTGTCAGCGCTGGTAGACATCTACGTGCAGCCGTCGTCGCGCATCACCATGCCGGAATTTGCGCCGATGGCTCAGACTGCGCGGCTGGCAGTCCTGCGGCTCTTCCATGACGATGCCAGCGGCGAGTACTCGCAAAAACGCAGTGATATTAGCGGCCAAGCGCATCAAACGGCTGTCGTACCGCGTCGATGCCAGTTCCCTGCGCCCCTGGCTGCATCTGCGGCTGCGCGACGAGCTGCGGGAGAACCCCGAGGACCGCAAGCGCGCGGAGGCGGAGCGGCTGCGGAAGGAGCAGCTGCGCGAGCGCAACAAGCTGATGAAGCGCAAGAAGAGTGGCTCGGCGGTGGGCGAGGCGCGGCGGGCGGCCTTCGAGACGAAGAAGCAGAAGAAGGCCAGGCGTGTGCAGCAAGAGGTCGATAGGGATTTGCGCGACGCGCAGGCAGAGGTGACGCGGGAGGAGCGCGAGCGGTGGTTCGGTGAGACCCTGAAGCAGGTGTTTGTCACGTATTTCCGCATTCTCAAGCAAAAGGACAATATCGGCGGGCTGCTGCCGGCGGTGCTGGAGGGCCTGGCCAAGTACGCGCATCTGATAAGCGTGGAGTTCTTCCTCGATTTGTTCCATTTGCTGAAGAAGATCATGCGCGGGCAGCACGGTGTTGGCGTGGGCAACGAGGACGACGATACCAGCGACCTGGTGTCGTCCAAGGTCAGCCTCCGCACATCGCTGCTGTGCATTCTGTCGGCGCTGCACATTCTGACCGGCCAGGGCGAGGCGCTGAACCTGGACATCAAGGATTTCTTCCACCAGCTCTACGCTTTGCTGCCGCCGCTGGCAGCCCATGCACAGATCGAGGCCACGCGGCTGTCGTCGCTCTCCGATGGCACACGCTTCACTGTGTATCTGGCACCGGCTGAGGTTGCGCAGGCGAATGCCGAGCGCGTGGCCCGGCAGGAGGACACGGAGCAACCGCAGCAGCTCGAGGAGGCGATGTGGGAGGCGACGGTGCGGAGCGAAGCTGATCTGTTGTTCGAGTGCCTCGAACTGATGTTCCTGGGTCGCACCAAGGTCTCGTCGGTCACGCGTGTGGCCGCATTTGTCAAGCGTCTGGCCGAGGGCGCCTTGTACTGGCCGGCCAAGACCGCGGTCCGCGCTATTGCCTTTATCCACAAGCTCATGGTCAAGTACCCTCACCTCGACCGCTTGTTTGCCTCCGACGAGCAGGCCGCCAGCGGTCTGTATCTGAAGGATATCGATGACCCGGACATGTGCAATCCCTTCGGCTCTTGCGTCTACGAGATCCATTGCCTGCAAACCCACCACAATGCCACTGTGCGGGCGGCAGCAGCCCGTCTGCTGGCGTTCGTCAAGGCGGAGGACAAGAAACACCAGCTATAAATCTGTTTTTTTATGTCAATCTTACTCGAACCTGACTACCGAACAATTTTCGATGGTGCCCAGAGGCGATGGGAAGCGGTTGCGCGTGTGCATTTTTGTGAGCAGTACAAAGCTCGTTTTATAGTATTTGCCAATTCCGTTTTTCCTTTCTAACCTTGAATTATTTTATTTTCGCTTTGCGCTTGCTTCATTTCGCCTCTCTTTCTAAACCCCCACCCGCTCGGTTTTCTTTTGCTAAAGGGACGGCACAAAAGAAAACCATAGTCCAACCAAAAGTGGGCAGCAATTTCTCACAACTGTACTCGCTCTAATTTTCCTTTTATTACAAAATATCCAAAATTGCTGGCCATTTTACTTTGTATTTTTTTGTTCATTTTCCGCTTCTTAACCTATTCAAAATTCAACGTCGCGCTGCAACACTAGGACTGTCCCAGGTGTTACTTTATCCCCTCCGACTTGGCCAGCTCACAGCAACTAGTGCTGAAACGCGTTCCTGATAACTCGGCATATCCCTTTGCCACGTTCAACAAAGTCACATTTTTTGCACAGAGCTAGCGTCTATCACGCGACAAAGACGGAGCCGCTACGGGTGCGTTGAGATCGATACAGGAACTTGGTTCCATTTCTTTTTTCGCACTTATTTGGCTCAAGTTCCAAGGTACGTGGCTATCCTGCTCTGGGAGGAGTCCATCACAGGCCATGCATGTGGACTCTGTCTTCAGCACACTAACTGCATACCGTGCTAGGCCATCGGTTGCTTATCTGTAGAGGAACAACACAGTAGCTGCACGAGATCGAGTTGTCAGCGCAATTTTTGGTTAGGGAAAGGATCGCGAGGCAAACACAATACAGGAAAGAAAAGGGGGTGTTTGAACAGCAGGCAGAAGATAATCTAGCGGCGCAAACCTCTTGTTCCACACATACACATACAGGAAAGAAATGTCGGCGAGCATCCGAGCAACACCGGTACCTAATATATCGACCAAACAGGGATTCGCAGCACACAGCGCCATGTCAGACGACGGGTCCTCGAGCCGCGATCTCGAAGAGTTCGAGGATGAAGCTGCAGCAAGAGCTGGGAGAGTGAATCGTACGAGAACCTGTTTGGCGAGGAGGAAGAGGAGGTGGTGGACGATGATGAGGAAGACGATGACGATTTGTTTGGGCAGCCAAATGGCGATACGCCGGCCGACTCGCGGTCGGTGGGCAGCGCGCCAGTTGAGGCAGAGCTGGAGTTCAGCTCGGAGAGCGATGATGACGACAACGACCTGTTCAGTGACGGCGAATTCGAGGACGCGCCAAAAGGCAACGGGCGGGTGACATCAGATTCTGAGTCAGACGACGAGTTTGAGACGGTGGATTTTGGCATCGAGGAGGAGGAGGATGAAGATGAGAGACAAAGGAAACTGCCGAGGAGTGCCCGAGGAGCCGCGCCCAGCCACAGCGCCAAAGCGCAAGGCGACAAGCCGTGTGCAGCTGGGAGACATGGACTTTCTGGAGCAGCACAAGGATGCAGCGCCGTCTTTGATATTGCATTTGTTTGACTCGCACTTTCGGTTCGGCAGCCAGGAGGGCGTGTTTCTGTACAACGGGCCAATGCGGTTTTTCTTTGATGCACTGAACGAGGGCAAGATCCCTGTGGACTGGTTGACGTGCTGTCAGATGTACACTGCCGGTTCTACGACGGGTGCCTGATCGTTGAGGTCCATGACCACCGGCGCACGCATACGGCGGCAGCACGGCAGCCGAAGCGGCAGAAGCTGAGCGAGCTGTTGACATGGACAAAGCTGTACAGCGAAAGCAAGATGAACAATACAGTGGACAACGTGTCCCCGATTACAGCACCTGTGCTTGTTGGTGAGACGAACGGAAAGCGGCCGCGCGAGGCGGACGATGACGGGTCGGCAGTAGCGCAAGGCCCGGTGGTGTACAAGAAGGTGATGCGGCCAACGGCAGAGACAATGAGTCTGATCTACAGCTGGCGTGTGAGCGGCACCGCGGCAAGCTGGCGGCAGAGGACGTGCTGGAGATCGAGCGGCTGGTACTGCTTGCGTGGAGGAGCCGCTTGATCTGGCGCCGGACGTGCAGGTAAGCCGGATCAGCAATGCGATCCGGTACATTGAGTACGGGCACCTGGTGCCACGCAAGCAGCGCAAGTACAACTCGGCAGAGGTGGAGGCAGAGCAGGCAGCGCACGAGGAGAAGATGCGGTTGCTGACTTGATGGACGACCGGAGCCAGCGCGACTTCCAGCCGAGCTTCAGCCGTGTGGCGCAGCTGGGAGTGGCGCAGCCGTAAGCTCGCAGGCGACGCGTGGTGTATCCATCGGCGCTGCCGGCGGGCAAAAAGGCAGTGGCGAAGAAGGCGGCCAGATGTCGTTGCTGGCTGACGGACGCAAGGTGGTGCGGACGCTGCGGTTTGTCAAGAGCGTGGGCGGGGGACAGTCCACACAGTGTTCAATGTGTTGGAGCTGCCCGACGGGCGCGGGCTGCAGGGAATGTTGCGGTGGGGCTCGCAGCCGGACTCGGCGGTGGGCGGCGAGACACGCGTGTTTGCGTTTGCCAGCGACGCGCTGATGCGCACTCAATCGACAACTTCAAGCTGTTCTCGGCCATGGAGAACAACCGCCTGATCTTCGATCGCAATACCCAACGGTGTGCGACCGCCGGCCCGCCACCTGGACAGGACCCGGCCGACCCGGAGTACCCGACGCCGCAGAACACCAGAGCCGAAACACCCAAACCCACAAAAGCCGAAACGCCCAAGCCTACAAAGGCTGAGACACCCAAGCCTGCCAAACCCACAAAAGCCAAGCCAAGCCCAACAAGCGTCAGGGCAGTGAGCGCCCGAGCGCCGAGCCCACAGCCGATACAGCAAAGGCGGGCAGGCGCAAGCGCTCCAGCACGCCACGATACCACCGTGGAGGACGAGCCGGCGACGGTGCCAAGCGAGCCGCTGGAGGAGAGCAAAGTGGAGGAGAAGCCGAAGGGCAAGGTGCGCCGCAAAACGCCCGGGCCGAAGGAGAAGAAGAAGCGGGCCAAGACGCCCAAAGCCAAGACGCCGGAGCCACCACCGCCCGCCAGCCCCGCGGCTCGCAGCGACTCGGAGGACGACGATGTGCCGCTGGCGCAGAAATCAGATCCGGCCAGGGCGGCCAATGGCACGCCTGCGGTAGCCAGCGCCGAGCTGCCAGTGTCAGCGGCTGTGACGACGGCAGCGCCGGTTGTGACGACGGTGTCGGCGGTCGCATCACCGGTGGCAGCCTCAGCTACTGCTTCTCCTGCTACGCCAGCACTAGCGCATCCGTCTGGGCTGCCAGTGCCACCGGCGATCATGGCACAGTTGAACAATTACGTGGCCGGGATCCTGCAGCAGCAGAACGGCGGGCGTCCGCTGGCGTCAGCTGGGCAGTCGGTGATCACACCCAAGTTCCTGAAGGATAACCCGCAGATCTTCGCGCAGCTGCAGCAGAAGGCGCGGCAGCTTATGGGCGCCCAGCAACCGCAACCCAACCGCAACCCAACAGCAGCCTGTCGCAGCCCAGCGACAGCAGCGACCGGTGCAGCCACCGATCAAGCCAACGCCCGAGGAAGTCGCGCTGATCCGTGAGTTCTGCCGGATCGCCAACATCAATCTGCAGGCGGTACCGCAGGACCGTGCTCTCATGCTGATGCGTATGGCCGCAGCGGCGAACTCAAGCAACGCATCGCCATGCACTACCAGCAACAGCAACAGCAGCAGCACAACAGCAACAACAGCAGCAGCAACAACAACAGCAGCAGCAGCAGCAGCAGCAACAACCCTCCAACAGTGCTTCCGTCCATGCGTCGCCGGTTCCTGCTAGCACACCAGCCAACCCACCAGCTATGCCCAATGGCTCAGACGCCGCAGCCCCGGCCATGTCGCAGCAGATGCTACTGGAGCTGTTTGCACGCCAACGCCAGGCGCAGCTAGGCGGCATGGCATCGCAGCCGCCCGCAGGTATGTTATCCACCCAACCTACTAGCGCTGATGCAGCAGCAGGCGAGTGCCACACAGTCCAGCCC